CACTTTAAAGGAGCCATACAGTGTTAAACTGAGTAAAGTTGGATTGGTTTAAGTCTCTGTTCTGCTATTACTAGTACACGGCTTTGAACATATCATCACCCCCTGATTACATCCATATTACAATCTCACCTCATCATGAAAAACACCAGGATAATCAGTCGTGCATCCAACCACTCTTGCTCATATTTTGTGAGGCACACAAAGTCAGTGAAAATGGTATCTGCAGGCACTCTGGTTTCCAGAATGTAACTATTCTTCTGTGAACGCTTTTCCTTGTTAGGTTTTTTACTAGCTCACCCACATCTCAGACCTTATTCTAGTGACAGAATCTGTCAGAGAATCCCCCCCATAAATTCTTAGGTTCTTTCCTTTGCCACTGCCTCTGCTGCTCCCCCTGATAATAAGAGTTTCTATCATTGGGCCACCTGGTAAAAGTCTTACAGTTGGGGGACAGTTCATTTCTGTGGAAGTGACATATCTGCCCTTCTGAGCCAGCAAGAGTGAAGGAAATGACTTCCTAGCCTACACACACACACACACACACACACACACACGTACACACACACACACAAGCCCATAGGCACACACATACACACACACACACACACACACACACACACGCACAAGCACATGCACATACACATAGGCACACACACACAGCACATGCACACACACACACAGGCACACATACACACACAGGCATATACACACACAGGCACACAGGCACACACAGGCATATACACACACAGGCACACACACACAGGCACACAGGCATATACAGGCACACACACAGGCACATGCACACTCTCCCACACACATGCACACACACAGGCACATGCTTGCACACACACACACGCACACACACAGAGGCACATGCACATTCACACATGCCCTTTCTAAATGAAGGTTGTGCCTCATTTTAGAAACGGATCCTGGAGGCGTCTGTAGTGTTTGCCAGGCTGATGTGAAGTCTCCATATGAGCATCAGGAATATTTCCCTGAAGAACCACTACTACCTGGAAGGCCAGGGTGTGAGGAAGGAGAAGGTTGTCGCCCTCAAGCCACTGAAGGGCTTCTGTTGAAGCATGGGGAACATAGGTAGTTTCAGAGGATAAAGCCAGTACTGAGCTGGGTATGGTTGTGTAAGACTATAATCCCAGTACTTGGAAGGCTGAGGCAGGAGGATCCTGAATTTGAGGCAAACCTGGGCTATAGATCAAGACCCTGTCAACAATCCTCAACCTGCAAAAACTAAAGGGAACAAACAAACAAAAAACCACTCACAAAACTGGTATCAGTCAATGCAAGAAAGTGCAGGAGACTGCTGCTTCTGCTCAGGGAACGCAAGGCTTCCAAAGTGGAGAAATTTGTATCAATGCGGACTCTTGGGCAGGGTCAGAGCTTCACCCCACCCAGTGAGTTACAGGGACCATTTGTTCAAGATTTCCCAGTCATAATGCAGTGGTCCTCAACCTTCCTAATGCTTTAACCGTTTAATACAGTTCCTCATGTTGTAGTTGCCCATGCCATAAAATTATTTCCACTGCTACTTTGTAACTGTAATTTTTTTTTACTGTTATGAATCTGATATTTCCAGTGGTCTTAGGTAAAAGAGTCATTTGACCCCCAAAGGTGTTGCAACCCACAGATTGAGAATCACTCAATGGTTGTATGTGAGTATTTGAGTTAAACTAATCTGTAAGTTTATAACAAAGAATAATTTAGTGTTGTGTCCCTGTGTGTGTGTGTGTGTGTGTGTGTGTGTATGGGAAGGGGGTTCTATGATTGGGTTGAATGACTTTTCAGGTCTTAAAATAGACTCCTATATTTAGGTAGGAATTCAGACATAAAGAGTCCCCAGCCTTCAGACCCATGGTAAGTAGGATGCTGTGAGTGACTCAGTGTGAAAAGATGGGAATGGATTCCCAGGCTCTGCCCTTATGCTGTGTCAGCTTGAGTTCAACAGACAAAGCTAAACCTTTTCCCCATGCTGGAGGTTGCCTGGGCTAGCCTTAATATAAAGGCAGGAGCTTAGTCCTACCTCAACTTAATACGCCACGCTTTGTTGACACCCATGGGAAGCCTGTCCCTTTCTGAACAGCAACAGAGGCATGGATGGGGGGAGGGGCAGGAAATGAATGGGAGGAGAGGGGGGTTGGGAAATTGCAGACAGGATGTAAAATCAATTAAAAAATTAATATTAATTTTAAAAAAAAACCCTAAAGTCATTACAAGAGAGGAGAGAAGGCAAAAGTTACTGGGCACCAGACATTTGGTTTGTACATTGAACACCTAATATTTTAGCAACTGAACTTACTTGTAACAAACTACTAATTTTCTACATGTAAAAAAACAAAGCTCCTACAGTTCAGCAAGAGAAAGCCAGACTCAAAACAGGGCAAATAATAATAACACTAACAAAAGTAATAATGTGTGACAACTAGATGGATTAAGAGACATGAATGTCTTAATCATTTGACAGGACACTCAGATTGGTGAGGGAAATTCGTTTTGAAATGACAGTGGAAATCACCTCGCAGCTCTAAGGATGGCTTAGACTTTGAAAAACAAATCAGAAAAGCCCTGGCGAGGATGTGGAGAAATCAGCCACTCTGTGCCTTTGATGGGGATGTGAACTACTGCTGTTATACAGTGGTTCCTCAGAGTTTAAAATAGAATTTCCATATGACCTACCCTTCCACTTCTCAGTTTGCAGCTAAAGAAGTGAAAGCAGGAAAGTGGGGGGGGGGATGTGTATGTTCACTTTCACAGCAGCATTTCACCATACTCAGAAGGCAAACGTGACTCAAGCAGCCACCTGCAAATGAGCAGACAAGCTAGGTGCAATGTGAGCATCCTTAAATGTATGGAAATTCAGGCAGGTGCTGCAGTACGGATGGGCCCTGATGGATCAGCCCCTGCGGCACCCTGCTAAGTGAAGCATACCCACCACAGAAAGCTAAGACTCCACTCACATCCAAAGAAGCCAGATCCATGGAGACAGAAGGTGGTGTTTGAGAGGGTGACAGACAGGAAGACAGGACAATCACTGTTTACTGAGCCCAGAGTTTCCATCTTGCAAAATGAAGACTTCAGGAGATAACGGTGTTGGTGATTGCACTGCATGTCTGAAAACAATCAGTCTAGTAAATTTTGTGTGTGTTTTACCACAGCTAAATGTAATTTTTAAAAAAACTACAATGAGAGGCCCAAAGAGTTCACTTAGGAGAACACTTGCCTGGCATGCATAAGGCCCTGGGTACCAGGCACTGCCAAAAATTTATACTGAAGTGTCATTTTAACCTTTAAATGGTACAGGCCATAAATTAGAAAACATACCAAAAAAAAAAAAAAAAAAGATGCAAATAAGCAGTGGCCTGTTGATGGTAGTTTAATAATGTATAATAGGGGAAAGCATTAGTGTGTGTCTGTGAAAGCTAACATTGCTTTAACATTTAATCCTTGGTTAAGCAATTCTGTTTCCAGGAAACAATCAGCTCCTGCAGGTGTGAGACAGTTTGGATTTTCATTTCAACAAAAGATTAGGGATAACTCAAATATCTGTCAAATGGCTATTTGTACCAAGTAGACTACAGTAGGTTAATATGCAACAATTTATGAGAGGGTGCTAATTAATGCCGCTATAATATAATCCCCCAATCTAGTAGTACATGTGAAAAACTGTGTACTGAATACTATTTATGTTTTAAAATGAAATAACAATACACGTGGATATGTGTTATTATTTTTGTTTTGTGTATGTCTAAGGCAAGAAACTGGCAACAGGTAACAATGGCCATTCCAGGTACATCTTTGGAAGAAAGTTAGATGTTCAGGACCAGAGCTGAGAGACAGAGAGACAGACAGAGAGAGAGAGAGAGAGAGAGACTTGCTTTCTACTGTTAATCACTGTAATAGTTAATAATGGCTGCCAACTTGAAAGAATCTAGGGACACCTAAAAGACACGTCTGAGTGTGTCTGTACTAAATTTCTAGACTGAGTTAAATACAGCAGGTCAACCCATCTTAAATGTAGGCTGAGCCATTCCGTGGGCTGGGGTCTCAGCCTGAATAGAAAGGAAAGGGCAGGGTGAATACCAGCCTCTCTCTCAGCTTCCTGACTAAGGGTTCGAGCTCCCACCCTGACACCTTCCCTGCTATAATGGACTGTACCCCAAAAACTGTCAGATATTTTGTTGCAACAAGAGAATTAACTAAATACATTACCTTTACAAAAAACAAAAACAAACAAACAAAACAAACAAAAAAACAATATCTCACTACAGACTCCTGTTGACCTAAAACTCACTGAAATAGGTGGATGTCTACCTCTGCCTCCCAAGTGCTGGGATTAAATGCGTGTGCTACTGTGCAAAAGAATCACCCCTTTACTTTTAAATTTTTGTGCTACAGGCAAGTATAATCTCTAAAAGTTCTTAATTAAAAAATTATAGTCTAAAAGGATTAAAAAACACACACACAAACACATGCGTACGTGCATGCACGCACACACACACACCACATTCTGACCCATTCTCTGTGTGCTAAGAGCTATAAGAACAGAAAGATGGAGAATGACCTTAGATAATCCATCCTCCAAGGAAAAAATTCCTGCCAATAATGTGTGTCTTCCCTAAGAACCAGTTTCCTGTACAAAGCCAGGTGTTAACCCACCTGCTAGGTTTCCTGTTCACACTGGCCATTAAAAGCTACAAGGCAAACTTGTGTGCCACCCAGTACAAGATAGAATATTTCCATGGTATTTAGCTGAATCCAAGGCACTCCACATTGGCCTTGTCTTGGGATCTGCTCAAACTGCGGTAATTGCTTTGTTTTCCCACCATTTTCTAATGTTGGTTCTTATCCTGTTAAGCCCTAGAATCATTTGGTCTATGGTGAGTGAGGAAGTAGAGAAGCAGGGAGAAAAGGAGAGGAAGGGGACGTTGTGAAGCCATGTGTGACTTCCTAACTAAGTTTTATTTTGTCTTTCTAAACTCCAGCACCATGAAATCAGGAGTGCTCTTTGTGATGGTCTTCACGCTGGCAGGTAAGTACTATCTCCCTGTGTGAGGTCCTCGAGTCCTGCTGTCTCCCAGTGAGCAGAACCACTGCAAGCCGGGGCCTGAGACTTGGTGGGGTTTGCCCAGGATTGATGCGAGTTGCCTGAGACTCCATAGCAAATAACTTTCCTGGAGACCAAGGAAGGGTCAGGACTGAGATCAGCTGTCTCTAGTCTGGGCATTCCCTGCTCTTCCATGAAACCCCCAGGGTCTGGACACACAACAAAAGATGGAGTGTCCCGTCCAGGGCTCCTGGAGGGCTATGGAAGGCCCCTGTAATGAAGCCTCTGAGTTGGCTCCACAGTATACACTCTGGTCTTTCTGTCCCCATTTCCAGTATTCTCGATCCCTTGGGAAACAGCTGGTGGGCTTTACAAAGGTTCTTGCAGCGTTACTTCCTGCCCACACCCTTCTTCCTTAGCCTGTGCCCTAGTTCATAGTAGTCACGCTCTGTGACCCTGGACCTCCAGTTAACCATGCCGGCCAATGCACCATGAAGCTAATAAAGCTGATGCCTCAGGGTTTCCCTTGTGCAGATTCTCCCCTTTCTAACCGTGTAAAGACCCCAGAAGGGCCCTAGCACTATATTGTTTGCCTTGTGACCTGGTAAGATATGGATAATATAGTCACAATTAATTAAGATTACCTCCCATGAATGATGATAATCCCACCCTCATCACAATATCCTCCTTGTGGGTGACATTTGAGTTGCATGATCTTTTTCTTAACAGTTCCCCAAAGTTTAGATTTGTAAGACCTCCCGGAACTCAGCCCTAGCAGGTCACTGCTCTTCTCTGGGATGCCTCTCTAAGCAGCTGGCTGGAGGCCCTACCATGCATCCTGCAACTCAATGATGCTTCTTTACTGTTGGCCCACTCTTTCCTGTTACTCATTTTCTCCACCTCATCTGTCAGGGAAGCCACCTCAGTCTTGGTGACAGGCAGACAGGGTAGCTGAGCTTGCAGTGTGCCTGAAGCATCTGCAGGCTACCCCTGACCACCTGGTCTCTGACTAACCAACTCAACCACAAAACCACCTCCTCCATATTTGTCATACAGCAGGCCCTTGGCCACTGTCCCCAACCCTGGCTAGGTGAGGAGGAGCTGGGCATTGTAAAGAGATAGTCCCTCAAACCTCAGCAAGTAGAGACAGGCCTTTTGTGATTTGTGGTTTCTGCTTAGTACCATACATAGCTTGCTGAGGCCACCAGTGTGAAGTCTACAGGTGTTTGCCTATCCATCAGCAGCGTAGGTGAGAACAGCAGCTTGCCCCTGCCAGGGCCAATGAGCTGGAGTCTCACCTGGGGAGGTGGGAAGGCGATGTGCACACACGCAAGTATCAGGGGTGGGGAGACAAAGATAGGCTGTGTGTGTGTGTGTGTGTGTGTGTGTGTGTGTGTGTGTGTGTTCAGGTACAGTTCTGAGCACTTTATAGCATTCACGTAAAAATCCCAATAACTTGCTGCGTTAAATCTTATCATTATTCCCCATTTTAAGACAAGTTCCCTAAAGTACAAAGAAGTTTAAGTAATTGACTTAAGATCAACACAGCTCCTAAAGGAAGAGCCCAGATTCATACCCAGCAGTGAGGCTGAACATCACTGATGTGTGACTCAGGTTATTTCTCCTGACTCCTGCTCCAACTATACGTGGCAGGCTCTGGTTTTGGTTTTTTTGGTTTTGGTTTTTTTTTTTGTGTGTGTGTGTGTGTGTGTGTGTGTGTGTGTGTGTATGACTCAAATAGCTTTGATACATGATATCACTTCAGCTTTGTTCCTTCTTGTTCACAAGTTGCCTTCTTCATGACCTCCTGTTACCTTAAACCACACCTCAGATGTCCTTAAGGCTTAGGTCTTAGCCCTGCCTGTTACAGTAGCAACTAGCTTTTATGACCTGGGAGAAAAACATCCTAGAAGTAAATATTCAGGAACCACCTAACTGAGACCACCTTGTCCCCAGACTTTCTGTCTCTTCCCTTTGAAAGTGAGCAGGGAAAGTTGAGAAACGCATCAAAACCAGGGGCAGGGGTTACTTCATTTTTTACCTGCTTTGAACTTTGGAAACTCCTAGCTCCTGATGATATTGAAATCATAAGAAAAGAGAAAGAAAGGAAGAAAGAAAGAAAGAAAGGAAGGAAGGAAGGAAGGAAGGAAGGAAGGAAGGAAGGAAGAAAGAAAAAGAAAAACCTCTTGAACGATAACTGATTGGAGATGTATGTGAAAAAGATACATGTTGGGGGAAGAACAGATTTTAAGAGGGTAGGAAAAATAGCATCAACCACCAGAAAATGAACTTCCCAGTACTTCACTCATCACTAAAAGTAATGATAAAACAAACAGTTGCCATCTGTTTTTCAACCTTTAATATTTTACTATCTTAACTATTTATAAGTGTACTTCTTTAGTTTATTTTTCTCAAAATTGCAAACATGTACACAATGTTTCTTAGTTATATCCACCCACTCCTTCCCTCCAACCCACCCCAGACCCCCTAAAATACCTCTCAACCTTGACTATGCATACATGGACAGCTGTATCCCCGAGGCCCATTGAGCATCACTAGAGAGAGGAGAGGTGTGTATGTAAGAATGTAAGAACCAGAGGGTGAGGAAGAGGACTGTGAACCACTGGCCTCTGGACATGACACGGCCGTTGTACATATGAATTCACAGAGGCCATGGTTATCTGCACAAGACAATCACAAGATCAAGAAAGCTAAAAGTTCCAGCAAGGAGCAGAGAGGAGCTCATGCTCACCTCTAGCTGAAGAGCTAATGGCAGTTGATGGCTACCGAATGAGGGTCACTATTCTTAGGGTGGGGACACTGGTGTCTGTGCCCCAGCGGATGGCCCACTTACATGTGCATATGAGCAGCACTAAATGGACTTAGAACGTGTTAATAAATTAAAAGCCACCCATGTTTAAATGTAGAAGAAAAATCTATTTGAAATTAATTTGTCTCTCGGAGCACACCTCTGCTTCCTAAGTTAGGGAGTAAAATCCTATCACAAGGCAGACATCCAAAGAGGGAAATGAGATGAAATTGGTGCTAGTAACCCACAGGAAAAGGAATTGCAAGGCTGGGTAATTTATAAAGACAGATAAGACATAGAACAACATAGGTCTACCCCTCCCCACACCTTTGACATCTTCTCTTTGTCTAGAAATTAGATACTTTTAAAGACACCCCTAATTAGTTGGTATGAGCATGGCAGACGAAGGATGACCTTGAGGACCCACCTTTATGTGGGTCCTGGGCATGAAACTCAGAGTACAGGCATGTGAAGCAACCTTCTGCGCCATCTCACTGGCCCTTCCCTCTAGCGACCCTTCCAGCCTGACCTCCCAGTAGTTATAACCACAGGTACATGCACTAACCCTGGTCCAGTTGGACATTTGGCAGTTGCTCTCCTTTGGTCTGAGGGTTCTCCAGGTTCTCCGGTTCTTATTTCACCTGAACAACACTTCTGATTCAACCTGGATTTCTTTCTTCACTTAAAGATATGCACAATACAGTCTCGGACTCTGGGTCCACACTCTGTGGAGAAGCCCACTGTCTTCCTCCAGGTTTGTGCAGGTTCTGGCCTGGATGGTTGAATGAAATAGCGTTTATGTGTTTGCTTTGGGCTCCTATGTCTTGTCACTGTTGACTGGTCACTTAAACAAGTACCTGGAGTCAACTAACAGTTCAAACGCATTGTGCCCAAAGAGTCACTTTGCTCAGCCACTGTCTCAGGGTCACTTCAACTGCAGCAGTGAGTGCCTTACCCAAAGTAGTCGTTCATTTTTGGTAAAATATTTTTAGTGGATCCCAGAGAGAATGAATGAGCTGCCAGACAGGAGGAGGGTTGTTGAGAGGTAAGATGGAAATTAGTAAAGAGAGCAAGCCCCCAGCCTCCAAACTGTGGTTTATTTTTGCTTTCTGAGAAAGAGAATCTTAATTCTGTTATTTAAGTATACCCTGGGATTTGACTCCCAGGTATTTGGTATCAAGCATGTTTGTGGCATCAAAAGCCAACTTCACACTAATTAAAAGAACTTAATAGGTTCTTTTTATCTTAATAGGTTTATTTTATCATTCTAGCATTGTACATTGCTCTATCCTGTGAGATAGGATAAACACCACCAAGGGCTAAGCAGAAGAGGAGGTTGGTTTCATGGATACAGAAAGGCAAAAAAAAAAAGCAGAAACCAAAAAGGGGGTTGGCCATTTTGATAGTACTTTCCTGTAAGGTGGACACAGAAGAGCAGAAAAATAACAGACTTGTTTCTAATTTAAATAAAAAATATTTTTAAAAGAAAAAGATAACAGACTGGGTAACATCAGATTTTTTTTTTTTTTTTTGTGTAAGGATGTGTGGTGAGATGTGGTAAGCATGCTTTTAGGGAACCTCACTGTCATACAGATCAGCTAGTTTGGGAAGTTTGGATGTCTCATTCTCTGAATCTCTTGCAAGATCAGGTAACAAGCTGGCTTCGGTTTGGTGGCATGGAATGTTGGCGTAGGGAACCCTGTTTTGATTTTTTATTCTAACCATGGAAATGAAAGCACTTATAATCCTTCCTGTATGGGCCATCCTTGCCTCGTAAGGGGGAACATAAAAGATAACGTCCCTAAGGTCTCCAGGCAAATCGAGATTCTTTTTCTGATAGCCCTTGTTTTTGCTTCACAGCCTTGGCTGTAGTACCTCTGAATCGCTTAGGCAGCAAGTGTATGTTCTCTCTTTGGCATTGCCTGCAGATAATCAAAAGAATGGGATGGTAATGAGTAGAAGAACCACTCTTGAGATAAGGGAGGATGATTTAAGAAGAGAAGTATATCCCTTGCTGTCTAAGTGAGAGCATCCAGCAGGCCATTGAGTATGGTATTCAGGACTCGAGTGAAGGCTGTGGACTGCAGATAAGCATCTGTCAGGTTATTCTATCAATAACAGATTGAATCAATCTGTTAGCAGTTGAATCAATGGGCAGCCAGAATAAATCCCAGCCAGAACAGACACATTAACCAGGAAGTCAGAGTGAGGAAGTTCATTCCAAGAAGGCTGGATGCCAACACTGAGCTACTTTTGGTAGAATGGTCAGGTAGGGTGAGGTCAGAAAGAGCAAGGAGCTGCGGGGCTGCAATGGTGGGGTTGCTGACATCTTTTATCAGGAAAGCTTCAGGAGAGATGGGGGTGGTCAGTGCAGATAGACGGAAGCTGTTTCTGCTCATTAGGGGACTCTAACTGAAATGGAAAGCAAGAGCAGAGGGACCGGTGTAAGACAGGGTGGTAAGACTGGGGGCCACATTCAGAGAAGTAGAACTTCTCAAATTTCAAATGTTGCCTATCTGTTCAATGAAATTATTTCCTCCAAGGGTGCCCATCTGCCCAGTTACAAGATCAGCTCTATAGACTCAAAGCACTTTCTTCAGTATGACTTCTACTAAGACAAAGAGACATAGTTACTGGTCTTACTGGTGAGAAATGGTTTAAAAGCTGTATTATTTCTGTGCTGTTTAGTATAATAGCCATTAGCCATTGTGGCTCATTAAACTTGAGTGAATTAAAATTAAATGAGATGAAAAAAAATCCATTTTCTATCTCCAGCACTGTAGAAATAATCCTATTTCTCTGTCATATTTACTATTTATCAAGGGTTTAAGAGCGGCAGTTGCTGCTGGGGTACCACATTGTTCAAAACCAGACAAGAATTCTCTCACCTCAAAGCATTCTTTGGGGAAAATAGTACAATGTGGGGTCCAGACTGAGGCCTAAGAAAGCTAAAGTCCCAGTAAAATTGAAGAACAGTAATAGAGAAAGTGAGAGTGGAACCTGGAGGACTCACAGGTTCTGGGTAGAGACGAGGGTGTTTGAGACCATGATCTGAGGTACTGAGCCTCAGGTGACACTGCTCGGGATCATGTCGTGGGAGATGGAAGGCTTCTGAACCGGTCTGTGGGTGAAGGTCTTTGTGGCAGATGAAGTCAAGCGGCTTTGATACAAGGCAGACTCACTGTTGATGGATAAACTCTTAGATTATCTTGGCAGTTACGTTGCTAATTGATTCAAAAGAACAGCCTTGAATACAATGCCAAAATCCTCCGTGAATGAAAAGGTAGTGACCAATGATTAATGGTTCATAACAGAAGAGTAGATAGGTTAGACGATCTAGATCCCTCTAAAGTGGAGAGTGGCTGCACAAGGTCCTTGTGTCTGGGGGCCACATGGAATCCTTTGGGTGGAACCAGATTTCACGGAAAGAACATTTAAAGTCATATTTATTGAAGAGGTTCATCTATAATGGAGTCTAGTACAATGAACCTGGGCTTCCAGCAAGCCTAGAAAAGCTTTGAAGGAAATTTATAAAGAGGAGAGGGGGGAAAAAAAACCTTTGAGAGTAATAAGCACAGTACCACGAGGAAGAGATTATGAAAGCATGGCCTGAGTTTGGGGTGATGACCAGGGAAGACTGGTGTTCTGGTGGGGCCACAGACTCAAAGTCCTCAGACCACTGGCTCCATGTGGCACTTGGATGGTGTCTTTCTGACGAGGTCCTTTAGTATTCTTGATCTCTATTTCCTGGCTGAGGAGATGTATGGCTGAATTCCTATGTGCCTAGCTCCTGACATCATCATAGCAATTGGTCACAAGAAAATCTACACCATTTCTCTTGCCCAAGTGTTAGAAAAAGGAGGGATTCTCAGTGTTTTCCTTCAATAGAATCCCAGGGAGTTCACTTGCTTAGAGGCCCTAAATGCTGGGGACCCTAACAGTGGAGGTCTGAGCCACTGGGGAAAAACAGACCTCACATCAAATCTTCCCTGTATGGTCAGAGTTAAGGAGATGCTCCTTCCTGGTTCAGAGTGGCATCAAGAAAACAAGGGTCTGGTGATGAGCCAAAGTGTGTAGACTGTGAAATACTTTCAGTTCTAATCAGAACAGCTGCAGAGTGATTTCCACACCTTGGGGAGTAGAGGGGTTTTGGAGAAGGTAGAAATGAATGTATCCGGTCATCATCTTTGATCCCCTCAGTTTCCCAAATAGGACTTCTTGGTAAAAACGCAGACTCTGTTTCAGATCTTAAGTGGAACCAGAGAGTCTAAGTTTCTGAGCAGCCCCCAGATGAGGCCAATGGCTTTGGTCTGCTTTGTATTTGTAGGTAAAGAGGGAGCTGAGGTGAAGAGGAAATCCCAGTTATCTTTTGGAGAAGGGGCCTGGGCCAGAGAAGTTGCACTTTTCTATTAGTAGAGAGAGTGAATAGAAAGGAATGTAGGTACTGTGAGTCTCCACAGAAGAAAAAGAAAACCTGTATGTCAAGAAGGTATAAGAAACTCAGCATGGATTCATTTCCAGTTCAAGAAAAATCCACTGATGGCTGAGCAATAATGTCACACCAATCTATAGCTGGTCAATGCTTCAGCTGCCTGTTTGGTTTCTCTATTAGATCAGCCGCCCCGGATCACATAATAAATTAGATCCAAACCAGAATGTGTCCTGCTCTCCTGAGTCCCGCCCACACTAACCCTCATGACATTATGAGCATTTACAGTAGGTGGCACTCTTGCCTCTCGCTTAGGAGATTGACAAAGGTGTACAGATGGCCAGATGAAGTAAATTGTCCTTACATCCCATTTCCACTGTTGTGGGAACCCAGTGGTTTCCCTCTTCCGTCCAACCCAGATATGCACATTGTACTTCACTGGTGCCTGGAGTATCCCCTGAGACCATTGGCAACCTCTTGATCATAGGTTCTCATGGGGTGGTCTGTAGGCTTTGCCAAGAGCACACCCCTACTACATGTCTATTGATGTCCTATTTGAAGGGAGGCCCACTGATCAGGTCAATTAATTCTTCCTGCGCCACTTTGAGTGGGACTCTTCTCATCTCCCTCACCTTCTTGTCCCTCCCTCTCCTCCCTTCCTGCAATCCTGAATGATGAATGGCTCTTTATGCAGAACCTTCTCCAATCGTCTTCCCATGGCAGCATCCAACTTGATGTGAACAGCACACTGACCTCACCTTTCACCTCTCAGCTCCCTCTATCTACTTTCCTTGCTAACTCTCAAGTAACTCCGTGGTCCAGAAAAATGTCCTACAAGTTGGCTTATGCCAGCATGTCCTTTTTCTGAGCTTTCCCAGCATGTTCCTCTGGGTTATAACAGTTTCCAGAGAGATGAAGCCTGGGAGTTTTAAGTCAGTTTCTTCCACCTACAGTTCACTTCCAACATTCTCCTTAAATGCTCTAACCACCACTCTCTCCCAAGAGTCACTACAACTTATTTTTTTACAATAGCAAACCAAAAAAAAAAAAAAAAAAAAAAAAAATAAGAGAATGGCGTGGAACTGGGAGGATTTAGGGGGATGGCACAGCAGTTATGGAAGCCTGTAACAACCTCAGTGATGATGGTCAATATTCTGGTTTAGAAATCCACAGAACCATAGTACCAGAGAGACTCCTAGAACATTACTTCAGACCACCTTCTTAATCAGGTGGGAAAACAGATAAGTTTGAAGTCTGCACAAATGGACAGTGGAGCAAGAACAAAGGTCTAACCCAGATGTCCAACAGGGATGCCCAGTTCTAGATCTTTACATCCAGCATCACTGACTGGAAAGCTGGAGACTCGGTTCTGTGTTGGGGAACTGAATTTCTTCCTTCTTGTTTCCTCTCTCCTAATTCTCAGTTGTTCTATTTTAGATGCTGTTTCCATGAAGACCCAAGCTTACTTCAATAGGACTGCATACCTACCATGCCCATTTACAAAGGGTCCAAATATAAGCCTGAGTGAGCTGGTAGTATTTTGGCAGGACCAGAAAAAGTTGGTTCTGTATGAGCACTATTTGGGCAAAGAGAAACTTGATAGCGTGAATGCCAAGTACCGGGCCCGCACAAGCTTTGACGGAGATAACTGGGCTCTAGGACTTCACAATGTTCAGATCAAGGACATGGGCACGTATGATTGTTTTATACAAAGGAAAACATCCAAAGGATCAGTCATTCTCCAGCAGACAGATACAGAGCTATCAGTGATCGGTATGTGGTCAATGTTGTGTTCAGATTGTTGGCCTGCTCACATAAGACTATAGGGATTTGACAGGACTGGACAAGAAGGCAGAAAACAGCCATTTCTAGCAAGTCCATTTGGAGAGAATGTGGGGTCTGAGAGTCTGAGAATGGGGAACTGAAAGCCCTTTTGCTCTGCAGTGGTTTGCTTACTGAGGATCATTGAGAATTTTCTTTATAGACAATATAGAGCTAGCTGAACAAAAGTAATACAGCCAGATGAGAACAATGGGCAATGTTCCATTTTCTCCTTTACTCTAAGATTTTCTCACCCACAAAACCTGGTCTGGAAGCTGAGAGATGGCCTGGTATATAAAATGCATATTGCACAAGCATGATTACCTGAGTTTGGATTTCCAGAACTCATGTAAAAGGCCAGCACAGTGGCACATGCCTCTAACCTCAGAACTTGGAGGTAGGGAGTGGATTCAAGACAAGAGGGTCCCTGATTCCCTGATTCTGTTAGGCCAGCCAACCTAATAGAATCAATGAGCTTCAGGTTCAGTGGAAGACTGTCTTACCATACAAGAAAGATGAAAAGTGATTGACCAAAGACATATGATGTCTACCTCCACATGTGTGTGAAACCTACATGCATGTGTACACACACACACACACACACACACACACACACACACACACACACACACAAATCAAATGCACACACACAGACTATGATCTGGAGCTCCTACCAAGGGTGGCAACTAATGGGAGCTTTCCCTTCAACTTTTCATAGATTGAATTTTTGCTGCCCCAACCATGAGCCCAGCAGACAGAAGGAAAACAACCCATCGAACCCACAAACTAATAAGCCATCTTCTCTGTTTCACCAGGCTTTGGAAAGCCTGCATGTCACTACAGACTTTCAAAACTGGTGTATGGGGAAACTAGTCTATCATTTAAGTGCATAATTTATTAAATTTGTAGATGAGGTTCAGGACACTTCCATCACAATGAGAATTTCCTTCAGGGTAGTTCCTTTTGGAGTCATTCTCTTTATCCATAGCTCTTGTTTGGGTTTTAGAGTTTTGTCATTTTGAGACTATTATATACACAGAGCCAAATGATTGTATTTAACCTTTAAAACTGACTTCTTTTATTCAGAAGAATGCCTCTTGTGTTTCACCTAAGTTGAGTGTATCAAAAATTTGGAAGCTTTTTTTATACTGTTTATCCATTCAATCACTGAAAGACACTGGGTTGTTTCAGTTTGAAGCTGTTACAAATCCATCTGCTGTAAACATTCAAGCATCAGCTTCTATGTGGACCTAAGTTGTATTTTTCAGGGGTAGATGCCTAGGCATGCTACTGCTGGACCCAGATGAGTTTTTAATGAACTTGGAAAAGGTAGAGCAACACCTTTGAGAATCAGCCTTTCCTCCTAGAACGAACCTTTTCTAAAAGCCACATAATCAAATGGCAAAAACAGCCAAAGGATAAAGTGCTATTCCCCTTCAGTGCAATGTGATTCAAACAAGGCTGCTGAGCTTTCACTTAACCAAGTGCTAAGTCAGTGTTCCTAGTATATGGCACGCATCTTTGGGGAAACAGTATGTTTTAGGCTGGGCACAGACAAGCTTTTAAAGCTGGTTATCTATTTATTATATGTGTTACTGCTACAACATAACCGGTGACTGCAAAGGTTTGTTGATGAAGCTACATAGAATCTGGTGAGCCTCAGCATCAGCAGGATGTTCAAGGAGCATAACAATATTGCAAAACTCAAAGAAGATAGCCTGACAATGACTTCTATTTTAGAAACAATACATTGCATTAACTTTTTGATTATGAGTCTAGCCTTTATGAGAAATCTCTCCATCCCCATATTGAATTATCGATTAGTATATAGAATCTGCAAACACCCTAGTAACTATAGAAGAACATCAAGGAATTTGGCTGGCTAAAGGCACATTTGTCAGGCCCAAGACCTGTGACAGTGCACTTCAGTCCTAAAAACAGGAATGAAAATAAAGGCAAGAGAGCATTGAATTTGCCCCCAGATGGAAGAATCCTTATAGCATGGTGATTCTCAACCTTCTTAATGTTGTGTCCCTTTAATACAGTTCCTCATGTTGTAGTGGCCCCCAACCATAAAATTATTTCATTGCTACTTGATCACTGAGACTTTTCTACTGTTATGAATCATGATGTAAATATCTGATATGCAGGATAGCTGATATAAAATCCCCAAAGAGGTCACAACCCACAGGTTGAGAACTACTGTTATAAAGCATGATGGGGATACCTTGATAATCATGTCAAAAACCAATATTCTGAGTCTGTAAACACAAAGGCCCCCACTACTTATTTTTATTCATAGGTTCTTAAAGATAAGACCCAAAGCATGCAAGGACCATAAACCCTGTGAGTTCCTGGTGGGATCTTAGCTCCTTCCCTGGGTGGAGAGTTGAAATGCTTCCCTTTGGGAATGTAGGTCCGATAGTCAGACCAGATCTCCATTCAGACTCCACTTTCTGGAATAGAGGTTCCTTCCACTCTAGACTTTGGTGAGATAGTTTCAGCTAGCCTGTCTCTCAGAGAGCACTCTCTTGACTTAGGAATTAAGTGAGTTTCTTGAAAGGTAAATGTAGGCTTATCATGTAGCCTTCACTATGGGCTGAGCCCTATGCCTTGAGATTGCCAGGTGAACCCCAATCAGGGAATTTGCTGTCAGGTATTTGCCATTTCTTTGTAAGTTCATCTAGACTGACTGTTTCCACCTGTATTCTGTTCCCAGCCAACTTCAGCAAACCTGAAATAGAAGTTCAGAACGTAACAAGAAATTCTGGCATAAATTTGACCTGCTCATCTAAGCAAGGTTATCCAAAACCTACAACGATGTATATTTTGATAACTAATTCAACTAATTCAACTCATGAGCACAGTGGTGACATGCAGATATCGCAAGACAATGTCACAGAACTGTTCAGTGTTTCCATTAGCTTATCTATTCCATTCCCGGATGGTGTGTGCAATGTGACCACCTTGTGCGTCCTGGAAACTGAGTCAACGAAGATTTACTCCAGACTTCACAATATAGGTAAGGCTGCTTCCCAAGATTATTTATATCACTAGGAGTTACATGCAAACCTTTTAGTCCAACCATCCAGTGTTCATTGCTTGCTAGGAAACTTTCCAGCAGGCTACTAGAAAGGGCCCAAATAGAAGGCTACTGCTACATCTGAATGATCCAAGACCCAAGAGTTTTCGAATCTTGGCTACTCTGGACGAAACATGGTTTTATCCCTGAAACTGACCCAGACTTTGGAACTATTCTTTGATGAGATGTAGTCAGAAAATAGGTGATATCTCCTAGCAAGAAACCTTCGATTGAATAAAACATACGTGTATTATATTTATACCTGCCTCCCAATAGTACTTATTGTGCATATGGAATCACTCTAGGCATTGTTGATTATAAAGCTGAAAACTCAAAGATGGAAGATATCATCTAGTTCTTGAGATTCTTCCAGGAAAGTGAGATCTCCATGATATACATATATGATAAACTGAATTTTTAAAGATGAAATTCAAGTCTAATTATAGTTCATGGAAATAATTGCCTAAATTTAAAACAAGCTAATGATCAGTTCTGCGAGTATTCAGGGGCCAGCAAGATCTCTGAAAGTCAGATAAGCCTTCTAAAGGTACTAGGGCTTTATCATACTGTAAAATGAATTATTTGGCTTGGTAAATATGGTGGGAAAAGGGACAGAGTTCTAGAAGAAAGACTCTCAAATGTGCATGAATTTCTGCACAGAGAAATTATGAGGTAGTAAGTGTGGCCAGCTGGTGAGAGGGCCACAGTGAACCAGCTGTGCCCAATAAGAAGCAGGAAGTATGTTCAAGACAGACTCAGTGAAGGCATGCTCATAGCATATTCTTGATGTGTTTTGGCTTCTATGCTGATGGGAAAAAAGATTGAAACCCATTGCCAGCTTAGTCCCATTGAGAGCTAATCTACACCCCACACTCCCTTTTTGGAAAACAATCATTCCTCCTAGAATAAGGCACTCACTTTACCCCCATCATTGTTTTTTTCTGAGCCTGATCCCATCTTCCAGCCATCTGCCTTCTGTTTCTGTGGTCCTTCTCCAGTCCATTTCCTGTGATCTGCTTCTGCTGGTGGCACCCATCCATCCATCCATCCATCCATCCATCCAGCTCGTTCTGCATCCCCTAGTTTTGCCTCCTCCTTGCTCCTGGGTTCTCCCTCAGTAACTTGGCCTACAGACATACTCCTAGAAATATCCCTGAGGCTAGTCTAGTGCCCACAACCAGTTTTGCAACTAAACCCACTCACTCTCCTGGTACTGATTTCCTTTTAATAAAAGATGGGGTCACCCAGCTGTCCTAGTCGCTTCTACTACAATATCTCCTAGCCATCTAGAAGATACTCTAAGTAGTTCCTGAAGCTCAGCACTTTCATATAGCCACCAGCATCATGCTCCCAACCCTTGTCTACAAATGAGTGGGGACTGATCAGCATCATACACTCATTCACTCATTGTGGCTCATCACTACTTGTCAACTGTATAGAACTTCCCCAGGTGCCACCTTCAGAAATGTTTCAGCTCCCGCTACCTCAGCAAAAGGGCTTGCATTTCTGTGACCCTAATCTATGCCTTGATCAGAGATAGGTTAGCCACTGGATCTCTGAGTATCAAGAGGTGGCAATCTTCCAATAAATGCATAACCCTCCTTTATTGGAAATTCCAAACAGGTTGAGACAAACAGGGACACACTCAAAAAAATATTAAGTATTGTCCATGATGTCAACAATTCTTTGCCTTATTATTCTAGGAGCAGAATGTGTGCCTACAAACTGTAGTTAAACTATGGGAGATTCCAACCCAAATTTTACTACAATCTAGGATTAAATAAAAGAACTGTCCCTTTAAATGTCTATAAAGTGAGCCACTCAACTTACTGTCAGTTTTCCAGACTGCAGTGAGGCATTCTTATTCTAGCAAGTAATTCCTGGCCTTTAAGATCTAATTCTCCAGAGAACAAGGAAATATCAAAGGTTTTCTAACAGAGGCAGCATGTCAAAAGGCAAGTTGAGGAATTCCAGGGATACCCCAATAGAAATAATAATCAAACACTTTGAAGTAGCTACCCATGAGGAGGTTTTTCTATTTGCCCAAATGAGAGGTGATTGATCTAGAGACTGAGTTCAAGATCATGGTGGATGGCGGACCATTACCAAGGAGTTTTCCAAGCCTCCTATGTTGGTTTATATTTCCTATGGCCCTAGAATCCAAGGAAATGATGGAAAAGAAGGGGGGGAGGGAGAGAGGGAGGAAATTTAAGCCTTTATGAAAGGCTTAAGTTTCTTTCTGACTTGCAATCATTTTAGATCTTCCAGAGTCCCGATTTGTTCAAGAGGAAAGGAAATCCTGGATTGCATGTATCATCATCATTGTTCTACTTATCACTGGAATTGTGCTGTCCTACCTGGTAAAACTATGCTGGAGGAAGCAAGAACAGCCTGGCATCTCTTAGGTGACAAGTGTGTTTGTCCTGTCTGAACATACAGTTAAAGTTTGTTTGAAATGAGCATACAAGATGAAGGGGTAGCTTGGCAGTGCCATGTTACTTAGCATATACAAGTCAAGTTCAGTCTCCAATAGTGAGAAAGAAAAAGTGTTTTAAAATGAGAATATGAAACAATGGGGTGATGCTTACACATGCATATCCTTGTTTTACATACATCCAACTCCCCATTGTCATTTCTCCCCCCCCCCCATCATTCACACCAATGACCCTCTTTCTTCCTGCCATTTCTCCTCTTTTCAGGAGATAGATGATTGGTAGATCCTGCATGAGAGAAAACACATTATAGTTGTCTTTCTGAGTCTGGCTTATTTTGCTTAACATGATGACCTCTATTCATTTCCTTTAAAATGCCTTAATTTTGTTTTTAATAGTAGTTCAATAAAACTTTATAGTACATACATATGTATGTATATAACTCATGTTCTTTTCACTCTTTTATCTGTTGATAGTTTTGTGTTTTGGTTACTGGGAATAGTGATATAATAAACATATCTTATGTGTCAAACATATCTTTGTGGTTTGCAGACTTAGAATTCTTTGGTTATATACACAAGAATAGTATACATGTGTCACATGGCAGTTCTATTTTAGTCTTTTGAGGAACCTCCTTGGCCAACCTACTTTGCATTTTCACAAACAATGTATAAACCTTCTTTTTCCCTTCCATCCTTTCTGTCATTTGTTTTCCTGATGAGAGCCATTCTTGTCTGAGGTGCCATGGAATCTCGTAGTGGCTTTTTCCTTGATGGCTAAGGATGTTACATATTGTGTGAATGTTTGTGTTTATTTATTGGCCATTACTTTGACAAGTGACTCTTCAATTCATTTATTAGTTGGGTGGTTTTGGGGTCTCTTTATAATTTTAAATTTATATCTATATTTTCAATCTCCCAAATGTACAAGAGACCATGTTTCTTGGTCATATTCATGCCTCATTCCCTAACTTCAATTCTCCTAGAACTCCTCCCATCACCTCCCCCAAAACCTGTCCTTTTATAATTTATTTACTTATTTAATTCACTGAGTCTATTTAGAGTTGCCCATGCGCACATAGGTGGGGTCATCCACTGGTTCACAGCATGGACAGCCTTCCACTGCTGCATCCCTAAAAATAAGCAACTTCCCTCCAAGCAGCCATCAACTACCAATACCTTCTCAATTAGGAGTGGGGCCTTGGAAGCCTCAGATGATGGAAATCTTAACTGACTTGATCTTGCACAAATCTTGTGTAGGTCACTACAGCTACTGTGAGTTCATGTGTGCAACAGCCCTGTCATGTCCAGAAGATAGAGTCTCACAACCCTGCTCCCCATCTGCTGGCTCTTACATTCTTCCTTCCGGTCTTCTGTAAAGTCCCCTGAGCCTTGGGGGGTTGGGAGTTAGATATAGATGACTCATTGATTGCTAAACATTCAAAGTCACTTGTTTTCAGCACTTTGGGCAATAATGTGTCTCTGCATTAGCCACTACCTATTGCAATAAGAAACTGGTCAAAGTTGGGAACCACATAAATCTGTAGATATAGATATATTTAGAAGGCAGTTTGACAACATAACCATTTAAAGAATATCATCAATAGGTTCTCTCCTAGGGCCTGTGACTTCCTCCATCCTGTTTAAAGTACTAGGCATGAATTTCCTCCTGTAGAGCATGCCTCAAATCCAATCAAGAGCTCAGTTGGTAATCTCTGTAAGAGTCTTGCCACAGTTTGCACTGGTGGGCATATTTGATCTAAAACATGGGTGTTGTAGCATGCAGGGAGCTTTACTAGAGAAGATCATTGATGACTCTTCTCCCCCAACAGCCTTCGTAGTGCCTTCTAGCACTATGAAAGCCATCTGTCAGGGAGGAAGTTTCCTGGGCAGTTCAAGATTGATTTCTCTGTGTCTTGCAACTCAAGTATGAGGCATCTTCAGCACCAGAGTCTTAGCCATCCAGTTCTGATGAGCAACTATGAGCAACAGCAATAGCCTGTGTTATTTTGGGTATTCCTGGGCCTCTCTGATGAATTTCTTTATTTCATTCAGCTTTAGGGGCTTGTTTCTCCTGGAGTCTATTTACATCCTCTATGAGTTGTCTGAACACAGCTATAATCACTGGAACCGTCTGTCTGGTCTTCCAGGCTGTTTTCATTAGAGAAATACCTCATAGGGGATCAGCACTTTGTGCATGAGATATGTTGTCTTGTTTGTTTTGTTGTTTTGGTGTGTGTGTGTGTGTGTGTGTGTGTGTGTGTGTGTGTGTGTGTGTGTGTGTTGCTCTTTATTCTGCACTGGGACCTACATATCTGAAGTGGCTTGTTGGTTTACACCTCCTTTCTTTCTTTCTCTATTTTTTATTTATTTATTTGCTGTTTTATTTGTTTGTTTGGTTGGCTGTTTTTGTTGTTTTGTTCTGTCACCTTTCTCTTTCAGTGGATGTGTTTACATTGTTCAGGGGGAGCCAGGGTTCCCCCACTTGATTCATGTGGCTATGAAGCCCGTGCTCCTGAAGGAAAATAAAATGGAGTTCTTTGTGTATTTTAGATATAAATTTTCTGTTATGGGTATAGTTGGAGAGACTTTCTCCCATTAAGTAAGTGTTTGTTATACTTTTGGTCCTGTGAAACTCCATTTGCCAAGTCATACTATTACTTCCTGAGTTAAAGGAGTCCTTTTAAAGAGTCCTTTCCTGGGTCTTATCTTGGCTCTTTACCCTATGTTTTCATCCAAAGCATCAAAGAAGGCGGTGTGTCTTAACTAAGGCCTTCACACATTTTAAACAGATCTTTCTTTACAAGGTGAAAACTGGAGATCTAGTCATAGTCATCTTATGTGGCTTGTTCTTCAGGCACCATTTACTCTTTCTTTTTCTCTAATATATGTTTTTGGCACCTTTGTTAAAAATAAATAAAAAATAAGTGCCTATAGCTGCATCTATAGAACTAATTTCTGAGTCCTCTATTCTATCCCATTGGTCTACTTGCCTAATTTTGTGCCTGTATCATGCTGTTTATGTAACTGTGGCTAGACAGTGTGATTTGAGATTAGATATTGTATATGGTTCAGTTATTTAGGATCTTTTTTTCACTTCTATATCAATTTTATGATTTTTTTCAACTTATGTGTATAATGTCATTGGAATTTTAGTGAGACTGAATTCACTCTGTATACTGCTTTTGGTAATATACAGTTTTTCACATTTTTTCTGTCCACCTGTAAGTATGGAAAAATCTTTCCTTCATCTAATACCTCCTTCCATTTCTTTTGTTTTTTTCTTCAATGCTTTAAAGTTCTCGTTTTAGAGGTCTTTCACCCTCTGAGTTAGACTTATTCCTAGGCTTGTTGTTGTTTTGTTTGTTTTTTTTTTTTTTTTTTTTTTTTTTTTTTTTTTTTGCTATTCCCAATTGAACTCAATATGTAGACCTGGATAAACTCAAACTCACAGAGATCTGCTTACCTCTCTGTCCTGGGATTAAAGGCGTGAGCCACCACTTGGCAAGACAGTGCCTCTTTGTTGTTATTCCTCCATTAGCTCTAGGCTAACTGGCCCAGGAGCCTCTGGGGATTCTCAGTCTCCAGCTCCCATCACCCCACAGAAGCACCAGAGCTGCAGATGCTCCTTCTGCACATCTGTGTTTTACAGGGCTTCTAGATATTTGAACTCGGGTTCCGGTGCTTGCACAGAAAACACTTTTGCATACTAAGCCATCTCCCTAGCCCTTGATGTCCCTCCTCATGCTGTATCTACCTTATTCAGTATAGTGGTTTTCCACAGGACTTTTAAAATTTGATTCCTTGGATTTTCATTTCCAGCATTTCTGTTTTTTGTTTTTGTTTTTGTTTTTTAAATCTGTTAGCTTGTTGAATTCCTCATGTATGCTGTTGACTTTTCTTATTTTCATCCTGAGTTGATTTCCTTACATCACTTGTTTATTTGCCCATGCCTCTTGGGTGTCACTAATCATTTTTATAAGTAGAATTTAAAATTATTTGCCCAGCCATTTCAGTATCTTTGTGTTCACAAGTTAAGGAGCCATAGTCTTTTGGAGGAATCATGTTACCTTGTTTTGTCACATTTCTTGTGCTTCCATGTTGCGCTGTAACATCTGTTGGGATATGTATCACTTCAGATCTAGTTAGGTGTTCATTTAATGAGCAGCTTGTCCTGGAGGGCTCAATCTCCAATGGCACTTAGAAAATTAGCCATACAAGTAGAGGCAGTTTCTAGAAGGGAATAAGCTGTTTCCTAAGTTTGTTTTCACAGTGGAATGATCAGCTTGCAATCAAAACAAAGGAGATGGGATTAAAAAAAAATGTTTCTTTCCCCATAAGGCAAACAGAAATATTCAAGACTAAATAAGAAAGTCAAGGATGATATATGCACATGTAAGAAAGGTGTTGGAAGGGGATTTAGAGAGGCTAAACGTGTGTGTAAGGTGGTGACATTAAACTATGTCATCAAAGGCTAAGATATGAGAGTGTAGCACTAAAAGAATGTGATACATAATGATGAGTTTGACATCTCCAGGAAGGAGACAAACCATGGAAAAATCAAACCATGTGGACATAAGATGCTCATGAACTTCAGTTCTATAGTAACTATCCTTGCTTTGTGAATCCTTCTGGCTATGATAAGTAAAATACTGCCCCTTTAAAAAACTTCTACTTCCTATACCTAAAATTTTATATTATCTTTAAAAAGATTTATTTATTTTTATATGTAGGAGAATTTTGCACACATGTATGTATGTGTCCTGCATATCTATTTCATTCCCTTCGAGGCCAGAAGAAAGTGCCAGGTTCCAATGCAATAAAGTTACAAGAAGCTGTAAGCTGCCATGTGGGTGCTGGGAACTGAATCAGGGACCTTTGTAAAAGCATCAAGTGCTCTTGTCCACCATTTCAGCCCCTCCTTATGTTATCCATATGGCAAAAAGGTACATGAGCCACAAAAATTTACTCACGTAGGTTAGAGAGCTGTGCCGGAAGGAGGAGGAGGCATATGAGATTTGAGGAAAGCTCAGTCCATCATTGTTGGCTTTGAACTCGGGGAAAGAAGGCCATGAACTAAGGAATTTGGATCACTTCTAGAGGCTAGAAATGGCCCTCACTTGACAGCCAGCCATCTAAGAACTGGAGAGTTCAGTTCTACAATCTCAAAGAACTGAATTCTGCCAACAGATATTGGAGCAGTTATGATCCAACCTCATGAACAACTAGTATGAATATGACATTAGTCTACTTCTCAGAGGAGAGAGCCTTCAAAGTAACTCACCTGGCATTAAAAGTTCTGTTCAGTGTTTCTTAATTGTGCCTTGCTAACATATATTTATCCTATTTAGGCCATTTAAATGAGTAAGAAGGAAATACCAAGTCAATTTAAAAAAAGGGTTTTCTACCCTGCCCCTCCCCAAAATTAATGAGAAAGAAAAGGCAGGAAAATGTATAATTCTGAATCACTGTTTTCATCCAATCTGAAATTATACTACCAGTTTGTCCATTTGAGAATTTGACTAAAACAAATTACAAAGTTTTTACAGTTTCCTTCCTATAGCAGAATGAAAATAGTCTTGGTTCTCATAGTCACAATGTTTTTTAAAGACAAGTCCTCATTATGAAGCTCTAGCTAGCACAGGACTTGCAGACCAGGCTGGACTTACGCTCACAGAGATCTGTTTGCCTCTGCCTCTTGAGTGCTGAGACTAAAGGTGTGTGCTACCACACCTGCTAATTACAATTTCTTAAAGGACAAGAGTCTTCTCCAAAGTGACTCATTTTTCATCAGCATTTAAACAGGAAACTCCACAGAGTTTAAAAACTGAAAGTTAGTGATCTCATCCCATTTCCACTTTAAAATAACAAAGTGATCATCCATTCCAAAAATGTGGGCCACACATTGTGTCTCCTAATTGTCAGCTTTCATTTTAAAACAGGGGCTTTCTTGTAATTGTGCTGACTTTGCCACGGGTATGGAAAGATCATCTGATTATTTTCTGTTCTGTATTTATCTGGGATACTCTGCCCAGCTATAAAGCACCATGATTTTTGAGAGGACTTTGAACAATACTAATAATCTAGTCAGATTTAGAAAGTTTCTGGAAACTTGAATAGGAAACAGCTCAAATGCCTCAGTTCCTTTGTATTGCTGTAACAAGATACCAAGGCTGACTGCCATAAAGGAAATGTTTATTATGACATGCAGATTGTATAAAGTGGTGGAAAAACATGTAAGAGCAGAGAGTGTGGATGCACATGTGTGCAGAAGAAAGACCAAGGGAAGGAGCTGGCTTCATAACAACCTGCTTTTACAGTGCCAATCCCCCAAGACTCTACTCACTCCCAAGTGTGGTTCCAATGACCAAATTCTCTCCAAGAAGGTTACTCTACTGGTCCCAACCCCCACATTGTGCCTCCAAGCACATGAACCTTAGGGGCTAGACCATACTGAAACCAGGGCATCAGCATCAAATAAACCTGAGAGCCTGCTCTCAAATATCCAAAGCAGTAGCTGCCTCCAGCTGCAATGATCAGACTCAACACTGTAGTCCAAACTGCATGTCAGCAAGGGACGATATATAAGAGCAGCCCGTCTAAGTGCTCTTGAAATTGTATGGAAAAAAATGATTTCTGCTTCCTCCAACTGCTTCATAAATTGCTTCCTGCCACAGACAACTGGAAACCAGACAAAATGAGAATGAAACTGTTGTTTTGACATGTTGGGCATCAGCAACAAAAATATAACTGTAACTAAGAGCAGAGAAAAGACATTGTGATTGCTCACAGCTTAGTGCCTATAGTCAATGGCCAAGTCAACAGTCAACAATGAAGGCAGTGAGATTCCTGATGCCCCAAACTAGGAAAACAGATCAAGAAAGTAATCCCCAAAGAATCCCATATGAACAGAGATGCCAAAAATCTTAACAAAATAAGAAATTAAAATCTAGTAATATATTACAAGTATGCTGCACCATGATTAAGTAGACATATTCTAGAAAGGTAGAAGAGTTAAGCATTCAAAACCCAAGGAGTGATAGTAATTAACAAACAGGCTAAAAGAAACCCCATGTGGCCATGGCAATGAATAAAAAAAAGTTTTTGATGAAATTAACACCCATTCATAATTTTAAAAGAGAAAGAAAAACATTCATGAACTAGGAATTCAAGGGGGAATATCTGAAACCCCCAAAGGACACCTACCAAAATCATTCTGATTAACATCATAGCAATAAAGGACAAATTGCTCTCCCCCTAAGACTGGGAGGAAGGCAAGGATGTCCATAGTTACCACTTTTGTTCAGCATTTTGCTGAAAGTCCTAGCCAGTGTGAAAAGAAAAAGAGAAAGGCTTGCAGTTTGGAAAGGAAGGACAAAAAAAAAAAAAAAAAAAAAAAAAAAAAAGCTCCAACTTTGAGGCAGATAACATGATGGTGTTTGTAGAAAAGTCTTTAAAACTATTAAAAGGCTAATAGTTCAGAGTGACAAAGTCTTGACATGCAAGGTCAAAAAATCAAGGTCAATTACATTCTATATACTAACAATAAACAAATACTGAGAAAATGTTTAAATACAGTTTCTAGGGTCATCATATGAAATAAGGTGTCGGCAATACATTTAACAAAACAAATGTAAGACCTAAAACCATACATTAGTGTGAACAGAAACTGAAGTAGATCTGAATAAAAGGAAGCATATACTGTGTTCAAAGATCAGAAGGCAAAATATTGTTGATACTGTTTCCTCCAAATTGATCAATGGATCAGAGCAATCTAAATCAAATGCCTGGAGGACTCATTAGTGAAAATTAAAAGGCTGGCTGGCTCTATGAAAATATGTAGGAATGCAAATAATCTACAGCTGTAAAAACAATTTTGAAAATTAGGAACAAAAGTGGAGCCATATATGGTGATAAAGTACTATAATCCTAGCACTCAGAAGGCAGAAGCAGGGGGATTGAGTTTGAGACCAACCTGGGCTAAGTAGTGAGACCCCTATCTCAAAAGGAAACATCAACCTTTCTACCAAAAAAAGTTTAAATTTTCTTCATGGATATACCGCCACGCGGATGGCTATTTTTAAATATGCACACATATAAAAGAGAAGTTACAGGAAGTGTTCAGGGAGACTATAGTCCAGGCTGAGTCACAACACCATCAGGGTGTGTTTTCCATGGATGCCCAGGAGAACAAGTCATGAGTCTGAGTGGGACAGTAGTACTAACAAATCATCCATTAACCTGGAGGAATTTGAACCCCAAATTGCATCAGCAGTAAGTCCATGGGGGGGGGGCAACTGGGCCTTTGGAAATTTAGCTGCCTAGAGATTTCCTACTTTAGCTTGTCCGTGCAACAATACACACTTGGTATTATTTGGTAATACCATCTAGCTAACCCATCTAGGCATCAGCATCATTGGGACTGAATAGCTTTCATTCACCTTCAAAATGGTAATTCTTTTCTGGTGATAAAAGACTGGCATCTCCATTTCAGTGCGGGCGCCACTAGGTGAGGGTGGAATTATGTCCAACATAAGAACTTAAGACACATTTAAAAGAAAGAAAGGAAGGAAGGAAGGAAGGAAGGAAGGAAGGAAGGAAGAAAAAAAGAAAGCTTTACCTTGGGGATGAAAAGAAGTCCTTCCCAGCCCCCAGTCATCATTTCTCTCTGAGACCCAGGATTTTGAAGCCTCTTCATTTCCCCTCTTTCCATGTCTGTGAGGAATATAGCTTCCCTAACTGTTTTTGATCTCTTTCAGAAATCAAAATGGCAAGTGAAGGGAGTGAGAAACTGGAAAAAGGTGAGTCCCAACTGCAACACTGTTCAAAGAGATTTTATTCCCCAATGTCTGCCTGTAACTCTCACAGGCTTTCACCAGGCTGAAGCATGCTGGGACTTACACAAAAGCTATTGGGGGCAGGGAAGACAGCAAGACAAGGGAGAGCATGGAGGAAAGTGGCTCTAAACAGTGGCAGTATCCAATGCACAGTGCCCTAAGGACATGCCATGTCAGCCAAGGGCAAGGACTAAGCAAAGCTCGGGGTTGTGATGTGATGTGGCAGACAATAACCTATATTTTGTTCACCATGGCAGCTTCATCCCCTAACGGTGACTGAACTATTGAGCCCCTTGCAAATATAGAATGAGTAAATGCAGAAGCAGGGAATACTAGCATGTCCCCTTCAGCCTCAGCGCCTTTGTGCCTGCTACACCCACCACTTGGAAGCTCCTGTTTCTTTTCCCTCGTTCTTCAGCTGTAGCCACCACCAGTACTTCCTTAAAAACCTTTCCCCAAACTTAATCATGGCCATAAGCTACCGTATCCCGTGGATTCTTGCTTACTTATCTAAAATTACCTTAAGAAACACTGTTGACTGAACTCCAGGCATACCTGAAAGTTTCTGGTGTCCTCTAACAACATGACACAGTTGGATCGACTGTTCTTCCATCCCCATCGAGGAGCTGAGAGCTCAATGGCTGCCTGGGGTCATGGGATCAAAGCTCTCTATAAAAGAGCCTGGTTGAGGATGCAGTTACAGTAACACCAGGCTTACCAGGCACTGGCAACAAGACTCACTCCAGGAATTCTGGGTAGACAGTCAAGGTCATTGAGGTGCTACTGGCCTTTTAAGACTTGGTTCAGAAATGTTCTGGAAGGGCATGCAGAAGAAAGGCATCAAGAGTCAACACAAGGGCAGGATAAGGACCCCGACCAGACAAATGTGAAGGATAGAAGCTTGGGTGACAGTGTAACCTGGCTTTCTTGGCTTTCTTCCCTTCTGTCTTCTTGTCTTCTGTTTCAATACTTTGTTTCAATGTGTTTCAACACATTACAATGGCCGCCTATGTGTGTCTTATGTTTGAAATCTACCACCCCCCCAAAAAAAGTGGTCCTGTTGTGAAATCTCACCCAGTCTCTTGTTTTTCTGTTTTGTTTTCCAGAATAAGAGTCCATGTTCCAGAATAAGAGTCCGTGTGTCTGAAATAAGAAGCCCATCATTGTTCACAATCCGAAAACATACCCAGAAGACTGGAATAGTACCCTTGATTAAAGAACAAAATTTGCAATAGTGTCCATACTTTATACCTTTTCCTGTGCAAGTTTTTGGGCAACCTCTTTGATTTCCCAGAAAAGAAGATAATATAATTATTAGGGTATGTGGTGCTCTGAGACTCCCTGTAGGTAAAACAGTCCCTATCATTCCAGCTCTGTTCCCTGTGCCAGGAGCAGACACTAATTCTCTGTCTTGCTATGTTTGACTCAGTTCATACTCAGGTCTAATGCACTGAAATGGCTCCTTGCTGGGGAATAACAATTTGGATCAACCTCTCCTCCTTTAGTTCAGATGCCTCTCCTAACTTTGCATAGTATGTTTTTATATGGAACTCCTTGTTGTAGGAATACTGGCCTTTATCTATTCCGAACAAACATGATAACCCACTTAGTCTTGTGTCCTTGGGCCTGAACAACTACCTCTTCAGTCAGGATGGGAGTGGTGTATTTGATGATGTTGTTTGATGTGTTCATGTTAGTATGTTAAAGTAGAAAAGAGTGTATACTGTAGTAGCATAATTAATATGCTCTAGAGGAAGACCCACCACTTATTAGGAAAACTTGTTCTTCTGTCAGTATCAGTAATTAACACAATGACCAAAGTATCACACAGGTAACAGCACAGAATTCTCAATGCTGGGAGATCGAGAAACACAATGATGTAACCATCCCTGGATCCAGGAGCCACTCCTATCTGGGCTGATGCTAATATTGGCAGAATCCACCTAATCAGCCAGCAATTAACAAGCTTTTGCAGGCATCACTGAAGAAAGCAAGACGTACTGCATGTCCTGAGTCCTATTTTCCCTCTTGAGAAAAATGGGATGGCAGTGATGGTCTGGGGACAGCTATGCAAGGACAAGACAGCAAAACACTCCAAACAAGGAGAAATCAATAGAGTCTAACCAACAATGCTCATAGAAGGATCTCCCCAGTCCTTGGACAAGTCAAGAAACCAGAGATGGATGTCCCAATGGATGTAAACAGTAATGGCCTTAGTGGTCAACAGGTGTTTTGATAACCCCATGTTTCATCCAGCTGGACATAGAGTTCGGGAGAAGACCAGTCATTGTGATAAAATGCAGGGAGGAAGGCTAGGACTTTTTCAGCTCATGGTGAAAGTAGGAAAAGCAGAACATACAACATTCTGAGGACGCCTTAATCTGCAGACATCCCAGGGAGCATGGATTGGTCCTTCAAAGAAGGACTAAGAGCGACTGATGCTGAAAACAGTGACAGGACAACTATGCACAAGAGAGAAATAGCCTCATAGAAAAGTGGCAGGATGTAGTGTGTTGACAAGGCATGGAGCCATCACCATTCAAACTTAAAGAGAACTCCGCAAGAGCTGAGCAGAAAAGTTGTTCTTTATATTTTATATAAAGGGCCCTGGAGGGTTGTAGACTTTTGCTAGTAAGGCTCATGCTTGAAATGTTGCCATTCATACATCTTGCCCCTGCCTGTGGAGACTCTTAGAATTTTGCTGGTTATAACATGTTCTGTACAGAGTAGATTCCAATAAAGTTTTCTTGCATTTATTGAAGCTTACTTATTTTTCTTCTGGGTCGATAGCACCATTATGGGCTAATGTTCCCACTCACTATTCACATCTGCTAATGTTCCCATTCACCCTCAACCTCTCTGTGGCTAAAAGTCTTGGCCATTTCCCAAATCCTCTTTTCCTTCCTTGATCTCTAACCATTGTACAAGAAATGAGGCTTGTGTTTACCTGAATGTATCTCTCAATAATGAGAGATCTTTAAAAATTGAATAATAGTGACTTCCTGGATGTCAGCAAGGAATCTCAGAATAAAAAAACAAACTTACTTTTTAGCTTGTAACCTTTCACACAGAACAATTTTACTGCAGCTTGATGTAAAAAGATTTCCCAAAATATTCTGATTATAAAATAATAATATAAAAATGTATTACACAAAAAATAATGTGAGAAAAGCCAATGAATTCCAGAACAGGTAAAATGTCTGGACTATAGTGGGTAAGGCTGTGTCTGGCCCCCTTACCAGGGGAGCCCAGGTACTGTAGACAGTACCTCAAAATAGTTAGCTGAAGTTCGAATGAAACATGAATACACCCTTTCATGGAAACATCTCTCCTTTGTGTATTAAATTCTCTAGACGTGTGCTCCAAGTCTGGAGAGCAGGGAAGCAAAAAAGAGTTAGAGGAGACGATCAGGTAACGTACTAGCTAACACTGACTGTTTGTCATGCGCTTGGTTCTTCAAACCTTCCAAACCTCTGTTCCACACTCTCCTCTGAGATGCAGCTCATGGGGTATTGTGCCCATTTTGCAGAGATGTCAGAGTAATTTAGTATCTGTTGTTAACCCTCCCTTGCTCAGGCCATCACCCCACTCACAGACACCCCACTTTCTGTTTGCTCTAACTGTAGAAGAGGTGGCATTTTTCTTGTTCCGGGTCGGCTGCATATCCCACATCCTGCGTGACCCAACCTCAGCTCCCAGAGGTGGCAACCCCAGAAATCAGGAGCTGTGGTGAAGCAGGCGCATGATGCGATGAGTAAAAGGAGATGTGGTCGTAGGGGAAGTGAGATGAGATGTCCTTGCTGACCCCCACTCCTCCCTCTGCCCTGCACTCATTGTCCTCCTCCTGCCTCTGCCATGCTTGCCCACTTACACCCCACGCAGGGTCCTCGTAAGCCAAGAGTCACATTTGACACCAACCCTCTGACCTGTCCCTCAGAAGCCACTTCCAAACCCACCCTCCTCCTCCTCACCACCAGGTCAGGACAGTGCTCCTCCAGAGGCCAACCCTCTGTCTACCCGCTGTCTACCCATTCCAAGAACCACACAACTGATCAGTCTGCCTCTCTTACTGGACTCTAACCAAAACACCCAATGATGTTATCCTTTCATTCCCTTCTCCCTGGCCATGCCACTCTGCCCTTACAGCCCTTTCTACAGACCCACTCAGCCTCATAACTCGTGTGTGTGTGTGTGTGTGTGTGCACGCGTGCGTGCGTGTGTGTGTGTGCGTGTGCGTGCGTGCGTGCGTGTGTGTGTGTGTGTGTGTGTGTGTGTACTCTACACATGCACCCTTTACCTTTTATTCAGGCAGATTTGGTTTTATATTACACTCAAAAGAAGCCAGAAGTTTCTTACTAAGATGACTACAAAAAGGGTCAACCTTACACATGTTGCCTCATATTAGCTATGGTGTGGTTACCTGAACAAAATTTCAGCACACATGGGGAGGTCCTACTGCTCCACCCCTAGTTGAAGAGCTACTGAGAGTTGCTGGTCACTGGAGGAGAGAAAGTCACTTTTCTTTGTCGGGGGTGTCCATTGGTAGGTTTCCCATGTCCCAGTGGATAATTCCACTGTGTATACAGGCAACATTAGTTAGACCTGATGTATTAAAAATAAATATACAAACAAATAAAATAAAAAAGACACATGAGAATAAAAAAGAAATGGACATGCTAATATAACTTCCTGATTCAAAAGGATCTGGGCTCAAATCTAAATCACCTTAGATAAATTATTTAACGTGTTCATCTATGAAATGGAGTAATGGTAAAACCCCATACATCTTTATTGTATCAATTTTCAGTTTCTATCTCTACTACTAGTGTGATAGTTAGCTTCAGTTATCAACTTCATGTCATCCGGAAGCATCTGAATAACAGACTGCCCACTTAGAGTTGGCCTGTGGGGGACTGTCTTACAGTAATCGATGCGAAGATTCAGCCCACTGTGGACAGCACTAACCCTGGCAGGGCTCCTGCACTGCGAAAGAGTGGAGAGACTGAGCTGAGCACAAGTGAGTGAGCATGCATGATTCACTTCTCTCTGCTCTTGACTGTGAATGTGACATGAGGGTTTGAAACCTCTGCCTTGACTTTCCTACCGTGAGGAACTAGCCTAGTATTGTAAGCTAAAATAACCCCCTCCTCCCCTCACTTTCTTTTGGTCAGATTGTTTTATCACAGCAACAGAAATGGAGCTAGAACAGTGAGGCTCCCTGGATTTTCTCACTGCCCACCTATTCACTTCAGGAGACACAAATGCAGAGTCCGACATCGTCCCTAGCCACATTTCCCAAGCCTTCAGTCTTATATCCAATGTTATCAACAATATGACTTTAAATCTAATGTTTTACCAATCTTTTTTTTTTTCCGGTCTCATTCTATTAGGAAACCATGATACTACTAGATTCAATTATATTATTTGTGTTGTCAACCACTTGTGTTATTCTTTAGTTCTGAAATACTTCTTACCATCTGTCTCTGTTTATTGCAGTCTTATTCATTTGTGGTGTGTGTGTGTGTGTGTGTGTGTGTGTGTGTGTGTGTGTGCGTGCGCACGTGTGTGTGTGTGTTGGTACAGAGTCTCTCACTAGGACTCCCTGGGGTTCACTCATTTGGCTAAGATGTCTGTCCATCTTAAAAACACCTAGCTGCTAGGACTGTCTTAGCATTTTTAGATATGGGTTCTAAGGATCCAAACTCAGTAACTTTAGTGATTGAGCTATCTCCTCAACCCTCTATTTTTCCCATTTTTAAAACAAAGCTTAAACCCAATGAATACTCAACATTCTCTACACATTTTTAAGAAGACATTTTCTTATAACCAGTGCATTAACATTAAAGATAAAGGTGTGGATGATGAAGGAGATAGCAAAGAGACCCAAATCAGTAGCTTTTGCATGCTGTGAAATCCCACTTTTCAAACTGTTTCCTATTTATCTACAATTTCAATTTTAGTAATTAATAAATTCTTACTAGTGCTTGTGAAAAAAGTCACCCCTGACATGTCTCTTAGTATTTTTAATAATCCATACATGAAGTGTCAAATTCAGAAAGGTAAGGTTGAGGCAACCATAGATACTGTATACTAATAATGCTTCCAGAACAAACAAAATGCCCCCAAATTCCTTATTCTAGAGTGCCTGTCTCCCATATATATATATACACACACACACACACACACACACACACACACACACACACACACACAATGGATTGTTTTAATAAACAAGTGTTACATGATAAAAGAATTATGTTATGATTATAAACACTCCTTTGAGAAATAGATATGATCTTGGTTTAGAAAGTGGCTCTGTACCCAGGCAATGCTGCCAGCTCAACTCTACTCATTGTGTGTAGCTGATTTATCTTCCCGTGATTTGATTGTATGTATGCCTTTGACTCCACAATTAATTACATGCTGTGAACTTATGAGGTCCTCAAATGGCTAGAATTTTCAGGAAAAAAAACATTAAGTTGTTCCCACAGTTTCTCAGAAAAGGAAGCAATGTGCAGAGTGTCTGAGCAGCCCTGCTAGTATACAAAACAGGTAAGACTGGAACAGGAAATTGATCACCAGATAGCAGAGAAAGACAGGAGCAGGACTCAGTCCTTGTCACCCCCACTCTTCCCTCCACTCTTCCTATAAGCTAGGAGAGCTGGAAAATGGGCATCAAAAAATGTACATCTAATCTAGCAAGGACATGACCTTTCAGTCAGACATGACAGTGCCATGTGACCTGGCTGTGAACTTTGTCTCTCTGTTTCCTTGTTTGTAAAATAGTTAATAGTGTCTGCTTACCTCATGAAAACAGAGGCAGTCCTGAAGATGTGGTCAAGTAGCCAAGTGATAGAGGGCTTTCCTAGTTTGTGCAAGACCCTGAGTTCAATGCCCAGGACTGCTAGGGAACAGCAAAAACAAAAGTGAGTAGAGTTTAAATGGGAGAAACGAAAGTAGGGGAGAGGAGGGTAGGGAAAGGGAAACAGAAAGAACCTCATCCAAAGAGTGGTTAGATCATTGTTTCCCCAGGGTGGGGTTGGGGGTGGTGGGTGAGCATCAGCATGGTGAAAACGAGAAGCCCATACGTAGTGTGGATTCATTCACGTTACTCAAAGTCCAGAAGCTCCTGGCCTCCTTCTGAAAGCCAGAAATACTCCCACAGTGCTTCCCACATGAGTCTCACATGAAGTCTGTCTCTCAGCCCTCAACCAGAGACTCATGAACTCAGCAGGCACTCTGGACTTTGCTGCCCACACTGACAGAGGCTACCTTCCCAAGATCTCTTCATCTTCCTTTTGTCTATCCCCCCCCCAACTTGGTCTCCAAGAGTATCTACTTTTCTGATAAAGTGGCAGGAGTCTCTGCCCTTACTAAATGGAGCATAAATTTATATTAAGTAACTAAACAACTGAAGGAAAAGGAGAAATGTCCCCAGGGCAGAACCTCTCAGGGAAGATTTTAGAAGACCATTGTTTAGAAGGAAGTCATGTTTGGGGCAGAGAAGCCAGTTAGGAAGCTGGCACAAGTGGCCAAATAAGAACAGAATTCCTATTAAGGAACTGGGAAAAGCCCCATGACACTTCCACACGGATCTGGGTACCAAAGCTTGTCAGACCTGCGAAGGGACCAGATGGACTTCATGGCCAAAACCGATGTGAACTGGGGCAGTGGAAACTGGGTAATCCAGGTGGAGTTGGCAAACTGGACATAGAGTAAGAAACCATGCTCTGGTTTAGTCACCAAAGTGAAGAAATGTCT